TTCAATATAGCCAAAATAAAAGAGACTACTATTTATACTAAAAAAAATAAACAAGACACTTTTGACAATTTTACCCTTAATGAGATAAGGGCCTTGTTTGGTTGCCTTCTTTTGTGAATTCTTGAATTCATGAAATGGTCATTTGCACACATGGCCTCTTTCCTTCTTCCTTCTCATTTTGATGTACCTTACAAACATTGTATGTCCTTCTTTGGTGACCTTCAAGCTCCTCTAATGCTTCCCTTTTCATGAACATTGCTTGTAGGACTTGAAGATCCTTTGCTTGACTCCGTGTGAATGGTCTTGAGGGGTATATGCCACTCATGTTAGTGTCATCCATGCTGGCCATGTTATCATCAGTTTTCCAAGAAAAAGTAAAAAAATTCAAAATTCTTTCTCATAAATACATATAATTTTAACTCAGATACATGAACTCTTAACGAGATACATGTACACCTGATGTGTATCTAATATTCTCGGCTTGAATGTTCGCGAATGAACAACAGATGTAAATCATTGATTCATAAAGATTGAAAATGCATCAAAACAAACTCATAGTCATATATACAGATTTGAGATTCAACACTAGTTTGAATAGCCCAGTTGAATTGAAATGCAAATATTCGTAAAAATTTTAAATATCCAGAACAAAAAAATTGAGATATCTAGGAGAACAGATATTTCGACAAACTGAAGAAAGACTTCCAATATCAATTTTAACGAAAAAACAACAACATACAAATCTCAAGACCAAAAATCAAAATATAGTCATGATTCCCTAGTGGCCTGCAATATCAAACTCCTCTCACGACATTATGAAGGATTAAAGGCTTAGCTCTTGGCTGCTAGCTTTTCCTTGGTTTCCTGGATCTTCAAAACCTTCCTGCAATGAGAAATTCATGAGTGAAAATAAATAAAAGTTGTTTGATTTAGTAAAATATTGTTAATGTATGTAGTACCTTTAACAAGAATCATTCGATTTTGAAAATAGTCATGCATTAAAGTGTTTGAGAAACAATACATCAAAAAATATAAAATCTAATTTGTAAAACTTTTTAAAATTATACTTCAGAACATTATGAACTTTAACCCAAATACAAAATCAAGATCATACAAGAGAATAATAAAATAATAGAAATAAACCTATATGAATAATGAAGATTTAAACATGCAAGTATGAAGTAAGAAAGAGGGAGAAGATGAAGAATAAAGCGGCTGGTGGACGTGGGGGTGGGGGAAACAACAAATTTGAGTTTTAAAAAAATAGACTTGTTAATGGACCATTAATTAAGGAGTTTAAATTTAAGATAATTATTTAATATTATATTTAAGGAATTTAAGTATCTGATTAGATTTTTTAAAATATATGGTATAAATATTAAAAATGGTAATATATGTAATTGTTTTAAACTAGAGGTAAATATAGTATATATGATAGTGACGTATGTGTAGTTAAGTAGTTTTTCCATTACCATAATAATTTAATTATCATTAAATATACTTTTTATAAATCTTCCTTTTACTAGAGTATTTTATTTTTGTCAACTGGAGTACAAAACTTCTTCCATTTTAATTATCGTTTTTACCGATTCAAATTATTTTTAAAAAAATAAAACAAAATATAATTTACTAAATTATTCTTATTTAAGAAAAAGTAGAATAAATTTTCTTTTAATATTGAACATACTTATCTAATGTTAAAAATGCCATTATGATATAATTACCGGGACACCAGTAGATATTGGGCAATTGGCTCTGCAATAATCAAAGAACTCATAGGCACAAGCCAAATGAAAATGCACATCCAGGCTACTTTGGCCCAAAAGTGGTCACTCAAACGCTCTTTGTCGAAAAATTATATTGTGCATAGATCATGTATAAAGTCAAAAACAACTTTTTAAAGATATATACTGGAAGCCCTTCCCTTAGTAACAGTCTTATTCACAAAATGGAAGAGGATGAAATCAAAGAGAGTGCAAACATAACCTCAAAACAAACTTAGCTAAAGTACTTCCAAAACATACACATTCCCCATATCTTTACTTCCAAAATGTTGCAGTTTTGCAGCATCCTATCTCGGACCTCCTTAGTCTCCTGTCGAGACCTCTCAAGGAGATCTTTTAGCTTTCGATTCTCATCCTTGAATTTCTTATGAGCTTTTTTCGCCTTTTGTTCAGCCACATGCCTAGCAGCATGCTCCTTCTCTAATTGCTTTTCTAGATTTTGTTTGGTGTCCTTCAGCTTAAATTTTACCTGTCCAATACATAGACATTGGCCCAACAATGGAAAAACATTGACTGTTAGAATTTATTAATCAAGTTGATGGTAAAGTTTTTGTTATCATTGCTTCATAAACAGGCCAATACTCTACATGATTTCATATATAAACAATCACAATTATATACCACTTCAGTTATTCGTCTAATTTGCTCCTCATGGGACCTCTGCATTTGGTCCTTCAACTCTTCCTCAGAGTATCCGGCTGAGGAATCAACGTTTGCCTTCTGAGTACCAAAATTTGTAGCTCCTTCCTGTAAATGGGAACGAAGGATCTAATCCAACTCGATAAACAAAATGGAATAATGTTTAAATAGAATCCAGACAATTAGTAAATGATAAATAAGTTCAATCCTTCAATTCCTTGAATAAATTGTATGTATATGGTTTATAACCATTCTTTTCCCCAACCAAATTAACTTGGAAAAGAAGGTCTTTCATTTGCGTCCTTAGTCTTGTTGTCAAACTGCACTAGTCGATTTTGGCACATTGCAAGAGTTTTCTGTAACGAAAATCAAAATAATTTACCTGTGTAACATACATTAATAAGATCATCTCTACATTCAATGGTTCAGGGTAGTCAGCGCCTAAGTAAGCATCCAATGTTACATCATGATCTTCCAGATCATCTCCACCAGTGAATACCACAATCATGTAGTCAGTAATATCGTTACCGAAGAAATGTTAAAAGACTCTGGACGACTGCTTGCTGTTCTCTTGAAAAGTGACTTCTCACAGAAAGAACTAAAAGAACAGCATGGATGCCATCTTTAGCCAAATCGATGCACTTAACGAGCTCTTTTCCAATAATTTCTAGATCAAGGGAAAAATCAAACCACCCTGCAATTCCCACAATGTCATACAGAGTTGTTAAAAAATCAAATCATGTACATATTTTAGCAAAGTAGCAACTTTTTTAATAAATAAATTGACTATAATACAGGATAAAGCTTTCCATGATAAGTATATACAAGATATTGCAGACATGTAAATGTGCTAAATCAAGCACACATTGTAGTTACATACAGTAAATTGCTATGCTATAATATACATACCAGGCGTATCAATCACATTTAGTATTGGTCCATTTGGCAATTGAAGCTCACAGGTAGATGTAACACCAGCAGATCGAGGCATCGACCTCATACATGAGGTCTAAAAAAAAAATGCAAACATGTGATAACTAAAGCAAAGAAACAACAGGAAGTAAAAGAAATCGAAGGATAAGAAACTATGAGACTAGTACGAATGCTATTGGTATACAACGAGAAACATGTAACAAGCACCAAGCTGATCCCTCTTATAAGACAACACACAACTATCTACTAACCTTATTTCCTAAAATAAATGGAACTTGTAAGTAATAGGTTGCAGCTCCAAGTAGTATATACTAATACTAACTACTAAGACGATAGCAGGGGCGGATCTATGGAGAAAACTTTCCTAAATCATATGTAAATAACGATAAGCACCCATAAATCTTTAAGGGTAGCTTACCAAAAACGTTCATCTTCAATTTTATGAAGATGTCTTTCTGCCTTCCTTTAGGCCACTTGAAAGTCACAGTTGGAACTTATCATGACTCTTTCTTAATTTTTGAATTATATATATTTTTTTCACATACGAAAATAGGATGAGAATTATCATTAATTTGCTAGAGATAAATATGCTATTTTAACATATATTTGGGAGATACATTAGCAAATATCCACTAGGACGGTTAATTAAGTTTTAATCACCATCTGAAAACTATTCAGCATTGGTCCATAGGGCCAAAAATTTAACTAAAAAAAAAAAAAAAAACTATTCAGCATATATAAACATTCTTTAATGTGGAAATAATATTACGATAACACGAAAAACACTAATATGGTATGTTGAACCTCGAAACTCCAATGAGGCAAATTCCAGCACAATTTGTTGAGATTTCAAAAAAATTTAATCAAGTGACACTCCAGCTCAATATGCAAGGTGAGTATGTGCTAGAGTTCCAATCTGACTTTAAAAATATAATTTCCTAGTACAATCATAAAGTTTTTTATATATAGAAATATTATTTTACTAATAATATCTATTCAAAATTCTGCCATAACTATTGATTTCAAACTTCATAAAATAATTAGAATTTGAATCTTTACAAATTTAAATTTCATATATCTTTCCTTGAGTTTGAACTTACACATTTTGAAATTCCGCACAAGTTTCACTTGTAAAAAAATTCAACCTTAACACCATACGCTGGAATTGTTCCATATTTCAGCTAAAATAATTTTATTTAAATATTATTTTTTGTATTAAAAATTGGTTATTTTCTCAGGAGATTTTAACGCACTAATCAGGCCTAATTTTTTGTTTTGTTGTGGCCCAATAATCGTTTCTTAATAAAGGGATTATCTGCCGTCATAAGTCAATCTCCTGCAGCCCCACTCTCTCTAGGTTAGCAAAATTGTACTCCATTTATTTTGGCTCTCTACTTGTTTATTATAGTGTAGAAATTTCTACTATCATCTTGCTTTTGTGTGTGTAATTGTGTGAAATATGGCATTGTATTATCAGGAATTCCTTATATTTGTTCTTTTGTCGATCAAGTAATTATTAAATTACTATAGACACTATATAATGTGTATCATTTTTCGAACGAAGATTGTTTACTACTTGCATTGTCATTTATTCCAACCTTTCAATATATTGATTATAAGTGAATATTCATGCCCTACCAACAAGGGTTGTGGTGAAGTGGTAACTATTCATTCATCCTTAATCAAGAGGTCTCGGATTCGAGCCTCCTTGGGTACGGAGTCGCCTTTATTAGGGAGTGTTTTACTTTAGTCTGGGTAACCGGACACCAGGTCGGAAATCAAAAAAAATATTCATACCCTTGTTAACCTTGTCATTACTTTTTAGATGTAATAGACTTAAAACCTGATTTCCACCAAGAAAATGTAGATATTATACTATCTTAGTCTATGAGACCACAAGCGGAGCCAGAATCTTAACCTTATTGTTTTTGAATTTTAGAACTATGATTTCAAGTGTCAATAACTGGGTTCGAAACTTAAAATTTGTACATATTTAATATATTTCTTAATACAAATTCACTACCTGAGCCAAAGTTACTGAGTTTGGCCGAAACCTGATCCTGACCTTAGTTTTCCCATATCCAGGAACTAATCGTCTTGGGTTTGACTTTCAAAGGTTTTTAGCACTGGCATATATGCATGTGAAATCCCTTCTTAAAAAGTGTATATTTTGTTCTGCTTCCAATGGCTTGAATCTTTTATCTAAAGGGTTATCATTATATAGATTTACGTAACAATCAGAAAGACTTTGTTTGTTGTTGATCTTTAATTCAGCTGTTTCATGGTTAACCTGACTGTGACCTGTTGCTTAAGGTAATTTGATCTGATAAGATAAGATGGGAGGAAGTTCAGTCAGTGATGATTGGGAGTTTATTGCAAATGAAGCTCAGACACTACTTATGATTGGGTGCATAGGTGAAGGAAAAAGTGCCACAGGCAATAGCATTCTTGGTAGAAATGCATTCCAGTTGAGGTCTAGCTTTGGTGCTGTTACAAGAACTTGTGAGATTCAGAGGACTCGATTAGAAGATGGACAGATTCTTGATGTCATCGATACCCCTGGTACGGTCAATTGTTTTATGTTAATTATAATTGAGCTCCTTTTTTTAGTGTTATGTGTTAACTAGAATCTTGAAGTCAATTTAATTCTAAGAGAAGTGTAGAGTCAATTATTTAATGTGTATGATTAACAATTCCTATTATATGATAAGTAGCATACTTGAAACGCCGAGGTTCTATCTGAAACAGTCTCTCTACCTTCACAAGGTAAAGGTAAGGCTGTGTACACACCACCTTCCTCAGACCCTGCTTGTGGAATGACACTGGGTTTGTTGTTGTTGTTGTAGCATACTTGAAACAAGATATGGATATGTAGAGTAATTTGATAACATATGGTGCATGACATTTGCAAAAAGAATGTCATTAGGATATGGGAAAAGTGAATACCATCATAGGAAATTTGCGTAGTATAGATAACATGAATTTGCTGAATCTTGCTTCTCTATTTCTTATATCCGTCAGATAATCTGTAAAGTCGCTGATAGCTTAGTCTGTGCCTTGTGGAAAATACAGGATTTGATTTTACAGCTGAATCTGGATTAGTTGGAAATGAAATTGGTAAGTGCATTGATTTGGCCGATGATGGTGTCCACGCTGTTCTTTTTGTTTTGTCTGTACGAACTAGCTTTTCAAAAGAAGAACAGGCTGCTATCCAGTACTTTAAGAAGCTCTTTGGGACCAAAATTTGTGATTACATGATTGTGGTCTACACTGGAGGGGATAAGCTCGAAGATAATGACTCTTTGAATGATCCCTTAGATCATTCCTGCCCCGAGGATTTAAAGGTAAAGTCCCGTGCAGAGATTTATTGTTTAATGTATTTGCACCATATCCTTTGGAATAAGCTGACTGATTCTACTAACTAATATACAGGCGCTTTAGCATTCGTCTACTTAAGAGGCTTCTTCATTTTGTTCCAATTTTGGATGATTTCTTGATCTTCAATGGTTATATTCAGCTAACGAAGAATTTTTATTGGCTCATGACAATTCTTTTTCCTTCTGTAGCTAAATGTTTTCAGTTTGTGGGATGAATCTACTAGAGAATTGTCATAGTTTTGTATTTAAAAATACTCCCATTTGTCTGTTACTATTTTCACCTTTGCATGCTCAAGAATGTGTAAATCGTTCCAAAATTAGTTCTTCCTACCATTGCAGGAAGTTCTTAAGATGTGTGGGAATAGACAAGTGTTTTTCGACAATAAAACTGAAGATCCAGCGAAGAAAGCTGAACAATTGAGGGAACTACTTTTCCATGTGAATATGGTTGTACAAATGACTGGTCGAAAACCATATACGAGTGAATTATTTGAGGAAGTAAAGGCATGTATACAACATTAACTAATTTGTTGGATTTTCTTAATGTGGAGAAGGGGAGCAATAACCTATCTTTTCATCTCCTCATTTATAGAAGATGAAGCTTCGTAATGACTCAGTGGAGGTTAATTCTTTGCTCGGAGATTTAAAGCAAGGGGTAACTGAGTTGAAGGAACAACTGCAGAGGTTCTCTTTCGTGGAGCAACAAAGGCGAATAACTAAAATGGTAGGTACCACTGTTGACACACTTTTGCTTCAGTTGTCATTTGAAAACATCAGTTGTCAGTGTTAAAATAAAACTTCAGCTACCATATCCTAAATTTCTGGATTGAGCCTGTAACTATAATCATCAATTTGTTTAGAATGCATTAGTTTCCATCGTAGTTGAAATATATCATTAAAGAAGTTTGAGATTGTTACTTGTGTCTGCATTTTGCTAGAGCAAGTTTAGCATGCAGAGAATTATAGTTTGAAGAAACAAGCTTGTGCCGACTTTCTAAGCTCCCTAAGTTTATGCTTTCATGTTGCTAGATTGGCCTCTCTTTTTTTTCCTTTTTAAGATATTCTACGTCTAATAAGAGGTGGGACAACACTGAAAGATATGATTTTCTGTTTTCACAGCTCTAAGAAGACTAAAAAAGTGAGACTGTTAAATTGCTTTTGTTCTAGAACAATACGTTCTCGGTTCTGTGAGACATTAATTGCAGAAATCATTTTCACCAGCTACATTGATAGCTGATGTCACTTTCAACTTTCGACAGTCTCTTGTGAGAGCCAATTTGCAAATTTTGGTATGAAATTAATTGAATTTTGTTCATCAAGAAATTTATCTATTTGTAAATTGCATTCAAAAGTAATTGTCAAACATGAATATTAGATTTTTTTTAATTTGTAAATGCTAAAAGTTTAATTTGGGAAATTCCTTATATTATTTGACTCATAACTAATTCTAGCTTTTGGCCGTGGTCTATGAATTAGGTAGTTCATCTTATTTCTTGATAGTGCACTTGAGCATTTTATGGACCTATCTGTACATATTTGATAGGCTGAATCTAAGATGAACAAGACCATGCATAGTCTTGAAAAGCAATTGGAGGAGGAGCATACTGCTCGGTTAGAGGCAGAAAGCAAAATTCGTGAATTGAAAGATAGCTTAGAGAAAGCTCAAAGAGAGACTGAGGAGCTCACAGGTCAGTGTCTATTCTTTTAGTTGTTGACGTGATTTTGGAAGAACTAGAACTTCGATCACTTTTGCAATCTTTTCTACCCTCTTCATACTCAAAAGAAGATATGTTGGTTAGAAGATGATACTTTCTTGAATTTCTATTGACTTGGGCCATATTGTTTATTAATGGCCAATTAATACTGAACTCAACATGCTTCTTAAGTTCCTTTTTGCTTATTGTCTTCATGAGACTTTAAGATTACTCATATCATGCATAATATATAGTTCGTTCAATTATTTGGAGCTTGAATTTTGAGAATGAATCAGAGTACTTTGGCAATATATTATAGACTGTGGTACTGAGGGAAGTTTTCATTGGCATGTGACATTTGCTGGTATAGTCAAGTTTTTTAGAGTTCTTTTGCTAGCTAGAGGGAAAGCTTTTGAATAATATCAATCTTTATAGAAAAATTTACAGAGGTTGTGTTGTCGCCTTGTAAGTTTAAACTAGTACAGATTTCTGGATCGTTCTCATTTCCTTCTGAGTTTGGCCGCTTATTCTTTGTGTCTTGTTGTCCTAGTGTAAAGTATTAACTTTTGTCTTCCGGTTTTGTTGGATGGATGAATTAGTCAAACATCGCTCTTACAGCTGCTACAAATGTCGAAGACATGTCTCATTTCACGATGATATCATCTCTACCAACTTCCAGGTGAACAATTTCATCTGCCCATATATAGTTACTAGATTGGTATTGTCATGCACTTTATCTGTGATCGTCTGGTTTCTGTCCATTAACTGTAGAAAAAATAAATATCTGTTTTTCAGTCAAAGAAAGGCAAGGCTTTCCTTTTTGCTCATGTGAGAAATGTTGTTGTTGGAACCAATGAAGAAAAACGTCTCACAACTGGTCTTCACACAATTGCTGACATTTACTGTGTGGATTGCAACGAGGTATTGGGTTGGAAGTATGAAAAAGCTGTTGAGCCATCGCAGAAGTACAAGGAAGGGAAATTCGTACTCGAGCTATGCAAAATTGTTAAAGACAATTGGTAACTCATAACAATAGTCTTTTTTATTTTATATTTCAGTACTTTGATGCAAAGTATTTTTTTCCTGTCTCTGAGCTTTCACTCTACTAACTTTCCATCAGAATTATCAACATCCGTATTGTCACTTTTGTTTCACGTTATAACATCTTTTGTTCCTCATAATTCACTGATTTTGTTACTTTTGTTTCATAAATTCTTTCTGTATTCGCGATTATCTTCAGAAAGTATATATGTACTCATTCCATACAAGCCGGATTTGCTGGTTTATCAGTGCCTATATATCTCTATTGATTTGAGGGCTATAGTTTCTCAAAGGCTTATAAAGAGTGAACTTCAACATACTTTCTAAGCTCATCATAAGTTCAAATTTCTTACAAACCCCAAAACAAACAATTCAAATACACAAAATAAGGTACTAATTTAAGTAACATACAATCATCAGAGATTACTTCATAAGTTGTAGACATTAAATTTCTTTTGTAAAATTCTCAAACCTCTTGCTGGGAATTTTATCTGCATCAAAAGAAACACGAATCATCAGTGGAGAAACAGGTATGTTCAAACATACATTTTGAGCTTAGTTTTGCAACAAAAAATATTCAAGTTATATATACCATTGGTGTAAATCGTTTACATTATCTACAATAAGAACATATCTGGTGAAATCCCACGAGTGGATCTAGAGAGGGTAGAGTGTACGCAGATCTTACCCCTACCTCATAAAGGTAGAGAGATTGTTTTTGAAAGACTCTTGGCTCAAATTGTGGGCTTTGTCACCTAAATGATACTACTTGAATTGTGATATTTGTAATCTTGAAAATAAGACAGGTTGCTTGATATGACATGTAGATGTGACTTGATAGTGCAACACTTTACTTAATTACACTAACAGTGTATATAACTTGAACTAAAAAAATTAATAGTGATAATGTAAAGATTTTTGTTTGAGGAAGTGAAGAGTACATACTCTACTGAAGTTCAAGGGACTTCTTGTCATGATGAGGAGGAGGCAATGGATCATAAGAAGAGACACCTTGGCCTTCCATCATATTAAGTTGAAGCATATTTCTTGCTAAATATTGCTGTATTGCACTGTACTCTTGTCCTCCTGGTGCTGGCATCATGCTTAGTTCCTGAAGCCTCTCATTTTCTGCTATCTGAAAGCAATAATATTTTCAGTAATCTCCATGAGAGAAAATAACTAAATGGGAATATTAGTACGTAGCTAGCTCAGATAGTTGGTTATCTAAACTCCCACCTTATCGGTAAGAGTTTGATTTTCCCCCTTATAATCCCCTCCCCACCTCCCTTTCCCTATCCCCATTTTTTTTTAAAAGTAATAATATTAATAATACTAAAGTAACTAAATGAAAATTTGCAATTTTGGGGAAAAAATGTATGTCAACTTCATTTAAACAAACTCCTGTTTGTTCTAATTGAGCACATGAACATATGATAAAGTGTTTCTATTTGACACTTTAATAACTTTTGGGAATATTCTCAAGTGTCAATTATATGGAGAAGTTGATCCCTTAAAAAGTGTCACTGCTTGCTTAAATTACATGCATTAGCCTCAATAAGTAACGACGTCTTAAGCATGCATGATTCAATTAAGGTTGGTGCGTATAATTAAAATGAAATGACATATTCTGTGATTAACTTAATTACCAAATATACAATTAAGAACACACGCAAACATTAGTCAAAAAAGTTGAACCAGAAGTATCTAAAATAATTAGGAACACTTTATCGTGTTCAGTTGCTTAAGTGGAATAGACCATAGTTCAAGTGTCTAAATAAATATACTAACAAGTTTAAGTGATTATTGATGTATTAATTAAGTCTATCCATAAATATAAAAATGTATTATTTTTCTTAGTGACTAATTTAAAAGAAATGTGTGCTACTAATTAAAAGTACCTTTGATCTAAGGAATGCATTCTCCTGTTCCAGTAGAATTTCCTATTAAAACAGCAAGTTGAAAGATTATAATGTGCCAAACATATATAGTGATATTAATTGGTCTGAACCGAAAACACAAAAAGGATAAAAACAAGTTTCAATAAATTATTACCCTCTTCTGCAAATTCTCAGTTTCAGCCAGTATCATCTCATGCTGTTCAACCACATAACAAACATCAAAGCTATTGTTATGAGGATTTGTATGATCAACATAAATATTTTGCTACTTAGGCTAACATTGTCACTACATGTAATGTTGTCAAAAGGACAGATCGGATTACAATGAGTTAAGTTAATAAATGAGCGGATCGTTAATCCATTCAAAAGTTATCTGGGCTGAGATGAGTTGTATCACGATGGACTAAACAATGGATCATAACCCATGTTGCTCAACTCTTATCAAGTTTCAATTAATTTATTTGTTTTCTTATAATTCATTTAATTACCAAACAAAAACAATATCAAACTTTTTGTTTCTTTTCTCTATATGACATATCAAAAAATTAAAAAAAAATTAAAAAGGGCAAGGTTTCCCATTACTCAATTTAGGGCCTTGGACTATATATGAACAGATCCAAATGGCTTGAAGCATGTCAGGAGAGTCATATTTTCATGAAATAATTTTGTCATAATGCGTAAAGAAAAATATGTATTGTTTGCAACTCCAAACAATGCAATAGTATGTAATTACAACAATATTTTAATAGTCCTAGCTAACAATTTTACAAATATACCTTTTTTGATCTGATTCTACTGATGCCTCGTTCAAGTCTATTTTCCAACTGCTTCAGCTCTCTTACGTTCAAACAACTTAACCCTTCACCAACCAGATGTCTACACGTGGATATATATATAATATTTTATGTATATAAATTTTTAGAAAACAATTAATGGAATTAGTTTTAAAATTCATCTCTAATTTAATTTAATGAATTAATTATAGCGTTACCTGTTTGAATTCTGCATCATTTGTATCTGTTGGCGCAGCTTTTTTGATTCTTGTTGATAAAACTACATACATGATAGCCAAAACAATATATAAATTTTTGTGATATAGCTAATAATTTTGTTTTTTTTTATAATCCATCGCGAAATAGAATTAGTGACAAATTCTAATTGTTTAGCATCAAAAAGTTATTAGCACTAAGGATTTTGCTTAATTAATTACCTGAGCATTGAGCTCTTGAGTGGTGCAAGCATTAGAGGTTTCAGCAGTTGCCTTCTTGTATCGTTCAATAGTTGCCTTAATGCTGTGTATCCCAAAAGTTTTATCATATATTTTATAAACAATAAAATATTGAGGCTAATTTATATAATTAAATAAGGTGATATATGTTAAGTAGTTAACTTAATAGGTACTTGAGAACACACATGCCCAAAAGTCATTTTCTAAATTTTAACGGAAAGTGTCTAATAAGAATATTTTTTATCATATATATTTCCAGGTGTTCAATTAAAACAAGTCGTTATTTCAGTATCTAATAAAATTTACCAACAATTTAAAAAGATTATTTATGCATTAAACCTAAAAAAAAAAAAAATCCTCCAGTCATCTCTATCCGTATTGAAATTAAATCATATAGTTAATTATTGTGACTTATCATATTTTTTACTTAATTTTCAAATATGTAAATTTTATTATAAAACACTTAAAAATTATATGTCTAAATTCAGTCTTAAAATTAAAAAGTTTGACTCTCGAAATTCAAACAATGCCACATAAATTAGTACTAGTACTTTTTGTTGCATAAAAAGATCATGTCAATGAAACCAAAAGCTAGAAATGGAAACAAATAAAAACAAGAGAATGATTTACTTATATATAAAGCATTGATAAGAAAATGAAATTTGTGATGATGTAATTTTTGAAGATTTCTCTTCTCTCCTTTTATGTTGCACTATCTTTGGAATCATAACTTTTTACATTTTAGGGTGATAATAATATGTACTTTTTATTTTTAAAAGGCTTTAATATTCCATATGCATGCAATAGGGAGACCTTATATATGGGAGAAGTACAATGCTCAACTTTTTAATGAATATGTAGAAATAAAAGTGAAGAGAGAACGTATATTCACTACCACAAACCAAAGCAGGAAAACTTTATAGTGCATAAGCTACAAGAGGAAACTAAAAAAGATCCTGGTAACAGAAGAATACAAATCACAATGATATATATAATGGAAATGAATCACAAGTCACTCATGATGAGACTTCTCAATACTTCTTTTAGTGCTTATTAGTCTGGTGTGTCCATTTCACTTTTTCATGTATAAACAAATAAATATTCTTTGTCATAATTAGTAGTACTCATTCATTTTCTTGCATATGTAAGTCTGTCTATATATATATAGACATCGAGATTTAATAACGGAAGTACCATAGTTGTTGAAATGCGTAAACCATCTTATTTAAAAGTTTAAGAGGTCAGAGAGATCACACTCACGGCCAAACATGCAAAAAATTAACTTTTAATTGATAATGGTGATTACTCGAACTCAGGATATGTACCTGCTTTGGTACTATATTGAAGTGGGAACCATTTCATTTAAAAAATTATTATGAGAGGACACTTTAATTTTATTCAGTTAATTATATCACATGCCGGTGGCGGGCGTGGGGATTAGTCTTCTAATATGGTTTAACTTTTGACAAATTCTAATTTCATGAACTAGGCATTTGAGATTGAGTTATTAACTAGGCTTTGGTAGAGGGGCTCAAGGATAGGGTAGAGGTTTGTTCTTAAAATATAATTCAAATAAAAAAAAAGAGTTTTCAGACCTTTATGCATACACTAAGGTACAAATATTACATACAAGTTTCGATCGGAATGATTAAGAAAGATTCACTAATTTAAACTGTTCATACAACAGTAAAAGTAAAAGTAGTGTAAAGACCGTAATATGTAACATTGCCTTATAAATAGAGATAATTCCTTTGTGTGAGCAATTTGAGTGCATAACATGCCACACTTCATCTTTCTTCCTAAATTTCCCTTTTTTGATTTGAAAGACATGATTTTCAGTATGTCCCAAAATAGCGCCTCCACTAGTTCGTCTAGCTAGTAGGTGCACAATTCTTTTAGGCAGGAAGTAAGTAAGGCCCTACAGGTGTGGGCATCTCCTAAAAGGCAAGCACTATTATTTGACACCACTTGAGGATGTCCTTTTTTTATCGTGATATTAAAGTCATATTCATCTTATTTCTTAACTTATTTGATGTTGGATCCTCATATTATATTGTTCACGCTCTAGTTGACAGAACTAAGTGTACAGAAGTATTAGTATCTCACATTGATGGTGAATGACAGGCAATGTGTATTCCTATATGATTTTGGATAGTTTTTACCTCATGAACCAAGTTTTTAGGTAGAGTTAATTAGACCTAAGATCACTTTTTTTATTATAATTTTTATCTCATAAACTAACCTTTGAGGTAAAGTTAATTAGGCTCAAGATCACTTTTCTTATTAATCTTTTGTGACTTAGGTACTGTGTTGACCGACATACATCATATAGGATATTTTCGATATGGAGGAAAATGTTTTCTATTTTATTATTTTTTTAATCTTCTCGTTTTTGGTTAGTCAAACTTTTAAAAAAAAAAAACAAATTTCTTAAAACTGAGAAAAAATGAATAATTTTCTAGTGAAAGTAAGGAAAATAAGTTTCACATATAACATTCTATGTGATCTACCTTCAACACACAACATCGATCTTCACCCCACCTGATAACCTCCATTCCCATAGCCCATGTACCCAACATCCCCC